CAGAGCTGGCAAGTTGCTGGACTTGGTATACGAATCTGGGGTCTGAGTGTGTAACAGGGGCTCTTAGTCTCAACACTGTGTTGCCTATTCATCACTCCTCCTGACGTGCCACGTCTCTGCCTGCTCTCTTCTCCCATTCATGGGCACCTTCTCCGACTCTTCCGGCAGATTTCAGTCCTCCCCACACTTTGCAGGTAGTCAGGTCACCATACCCATGCCTCTCTCACTGTAACGCTTGCAGCACTTGGAAGTGCTCCCTTGGCTCTTGGCATTTACTGCCTTCTGCTGTCAATCTCAGTCTTTGTACATTTAGCTGTTCAATTAGATCAGGAGCTCCCTAAGGTGGAAAAGGCCCTGGAACCAGAAGGCCTGGGCTGATGGTTCTTGGCAGGGGCCCCTTAAATCCCATAGCTTCTCTTTTCTCTCAAGAAGTAAGAATGTTAGCCTACAAGGATGCTATTAGTACCAAATGAAAAAACATGGGCAAAGTTGTCCAGCATAGCTATGTACAAGCAGGAACTAAAAAATGTTTGTTTCCCTTGTCCCCTAGGGGCCACCAAATTTGTCCCTTCTTTGTGTTTGCAGAAAACTTTGCACATAGTCAGTTAACCCTGGATGATTTTCCTCTGGAGAGAAACACCAGTATTAGCTTTTGTTTGCTTCCTGGTAGATAACCATCTCTATACTAAGTGATTATACTGATGAAAACATTTTTAAATACATAAAATAATCCATGAATAGTTTCAGACAGTTATAAAAGAAGGTTATAATACTAGTAAATAAGTAATTTGGGAACGAGTATTAAAAACAAATCATTAAATCTGTCTAGTAGGTAGAACAGGCAGTAAGATCACTGGCAGCAGGTCAGCAGGTTGTTAAGCTACTGGCTTTGAGAAAGTCAACAAACTCTAAGAATCCAGTGGTGGATGTTGTCTGGATACTTTCACGGTGAAGCACTAAAAGAGAAATGCAATTGGGGAGAAATACTCCAGAATATCTGCGTTACCCCCACAGAAACTGCATTTTTGTTTCGATATGTTTTATGGATTAGCCCTCAACCAGAATGGGAGCCTTGGGAAACAAAGACTCAATTAAGTGAGAGGGAAACCCTCCACACATCCAGCTTTATAAATTCCAGGGGTTGCAAATGGTGGAATGAGGCTGTAGGCAGCCCCTAACCTGCTCACAGCAACTGGAACTGGAATGTGCTTAGGTGTGGGCTATGTGACTTCAGTTTACCACAGTCCTTCCCATCAAGCTGCATTAGACTTGTGCTTGGCTCAGAAACTAGAGGCTGTTCCCAATTCCTGAATGAACACAGAGGTCTGCTTTCTCTATAACCCGAATGCAGTTTTTGAGACTCACATGGGGTTGAGGCCAACTCTCAGCTCTGGGTAAGAGTATCATGGGCTCCTTTTCATACCTTGTTTAATAAGTTCTTTAATTCTCCCTGGAGTTCCTACACCCAGGTGCACCACACGCTTCTCCAGCAATTTTACCTGTTCCTGGACCTTTTCCAAGATAGGAGAGAAAAAAGAAAATAGTCATTAAGAAAGTGTAACAATAGGCCAATTTAGAGCACTTTATGTATTTCAGAGTTAAGAAAGTGAGAAGCAAATGGGTCAACTTCCAGGGAAAAGAAGAGCATCTCCCGTGAAAGTCAGTAAACCCTTAAAAAATCCAGCAGTCAAACCTCAGCTTCTATAAAGGAACAGGGCATGGTGGAGTGACTCCTGAGGGGGGAGTAGGTAAGCAGAGGCATGCAATTTAAAGAAAAGCAGACCATGTTTAATGGTCATTAAACATGTCATACAAGGCACTGAAGAAAAGACTTGCTAAGCTGATTAGGAGAAGAGGTTTAAGGGAAAAGGCTGAGCTCTGGGAGGAACCTGAGGGATCACTTAGATCTCCCATCAGGAACCGCAGGCCCTTGCTTACCTTTATGTGTTTTGCAAATAATTTCATAACTTTGCTATCTCCTCTGAATGCTGTCATTGACCTAATGAAAAGAAATAGATTACATGCACACATACACAAAAAAGTTCTGAGACTTTCAGGTTAGCCTTGCAATGCGGCCTTTTATCCCGGCACATGTCTGGGCTGGCTTCTAACTCTCACATACAAGGTTACCCTTATTAGGCTTCTTTCATAATGAAACATATGGATCTGCCCTTCACTTGTAATACAGAATTCCTGTATGTCGGGTTTCTGGCAGAGAAATTATCTTCCTCCTCTGCAGTGTAGTTCTCATACAAAATTTGGTTGCAAGAGATATCTTAGAGCACTGATGCCAGCTGTGTTCTGTGGAGCCCAAGGGCATCTACAAAGGTCTGCCTGTGGCTGCTGTGAGGGGAAGCTGGGGATGAGTGGATGGGGGAAGATGGAGGGCTTATATCATTCCATTTACTTTTATCTGCTTTGTACACTGAGCTTCTTAGGAAAATTTTACATGTGTAAATGCTTCCGCCAAAAAGAAAGAATAGAAGGATGGGAGGGAAGGGGGAAGTGAGGAAGGAAAAAAAAAGTAAAGGAAACCATCGGCGTACAGGACTGGCTGAATGAGGGATATGAGAGCAGGTGGGCATTATAAATTTATGAGTGGGGTGCTCTGGGAGGCAGCTGAGGGCACTAGAGAGCGTGTGCCCTGTAAAATGTGTGCCCTTGTAAAGGAGTCAACTGGTGCTCAGCTCAGCTAGTTATTGTATGTGAGGTTATGGGCCCAATGTTAAGACCTGATTTTTAGAGAAGCCAGAAATCTGGATTTTAGTATGTGAAATCTGATTTTAAATATGGGCAACACATTCAAAAATTTTTTTAGATACCAAATACTTGTGGGGTAAACCTAGCTCTTGTATGTTGACTTACAACTCTAGCCTACATGTAGAACTGGTAGGTATTCAACAATCTGGGCCTATCTCTGTCAAACTAGGTTATCCGCTCTAGGGGTCAAGACCATGTTGACCATTGCCTGACACATCTGTCTTTCCTCCCCTCTGGCAGCAGGCCCTCAGCCCACACCAATGGCTGCTGTATAAGTAGCCACACAACATCCTCTGTCTAGTGTTCTTCCTGCAGATACATAATAAGGATGGTGCCACTAAGTCATAGTGGGACCAAAAACTATTCTGGCAGCTGGAAAATACAGGCTTACAGTGGGGGCCACCCCTGCAACTAAACAGAGCTTTACAGAAGTGACCTGGACCATTGTTCCCAATGGAACACCTGATTTTTTGGTCTTCATTTTTTCCTTGCTTCCATTTTCATCACTTGTTTTTATTTGCTGCATGTATTTCTACATATGATTTAAAATTGTGTTTTGAGAAAAAGTGGGTGTACATGAAGAATCTTTTAATTGGTATTTGGGGACAGAACATGGGAATACTACTTTCTTTTACATATTATTATGTTTTGAGAAATATTACTGACCAGTAAGAAAATAGGAGTTTGCAAAATAGTGAATCATGCTATTTAAGTTTTGTTGCAATCAAATTTTTACTTATACGCAGACTTGCTCCATGGCAAAGTTAACTAGGAAGACAATTTAAAAACTCAGGGCTCTCAAGAGAACAGATGTTCTTACAAAACTTCGTACTATTAAATATTAGTCTTTATGAATAGGGCTTGTTGTGCCTGTGCAGAAATCACTTTGTGCAAATCTCCTAACCTTGAAATGGGTCATAATATTACTGGGGACACAGAAAAATATTGAGAATTGGTAAATGAAGTATGACAACACAGTGCTTTTATGCCCTTCAGAAAAGAATTTGTGTATGGTAAAAGCTAAAATCAATTTGACAACTTGAATTTTAGAGGCTATCTCCATGCCAACCTCTTTGCCATCAGTGTCTGATTCTGAACCGAGTTCTGGGCTAGTTTTGAAAGCACTGAAAAGTCTAAACTCTGTATAGTCTAAACTCAGTATAAACTCTGATTTTAGGACCAGCAGGTACAGATGCCAAAAAGCAGTTGGAGTCCTGAAGGTCACTTATGTATACAGAAGCAAAAGTGGAAAGAAACACTTTCGTTTTACCGGGAGGGTATGTGATACAATTTAATGTATGTACTTAGGTGGGAAAAGGACGGTTTGAAAGACAAAGTTTAGAAATCATTTATTCTAAATTAGGTTAGTTCATTTAGTGATTAGGTTAGTTCATTTAGAAAAACAGATGCTAAATAACTACTGAATGTCTACATTTGCACTTTAGTTTATTTGACCAAGTTTCTTTTTCTTTATGACTTGGAGTTTCCTTTGTTTTGTCTCCTGTCAAAGCCTGGCCCAGAGCCTGGCTCCCAGCGTGAGCTGGTCCCAGTAAACCCCACCTTACTCTGATGGCTCTTCACTGAAAGCTAAATGTCACCACGGACCTAGCTGAAGGCTTTTTGTTGACTCTACAAAAACTATGGTAAGTTTCACATAAAAGGTATGTGAAAGCACTTAATAAAACACTGACAAATTATCTTTAAAACATAATTTTTACATTAAAATTTTTAGTCTGTTTGGAATTTATCTTGGTATAAAACGTGAGATAGGAATCCAACTTTATTTTTCCAGATGGCTACTCAGTTGTTCCAACAGCATTTATTAATAACACATTTTCCTTTACTGATTTCTGATTTGTCACCTTAGGCACATGCTACATTTTCATATGCATTTGGGTCTATTTCTGAACTTTCAATTCTGTTCCACTGATCTGATCTGATCTGTCATGCATGTGCCAGTTCATACTCTTTTAATTACTGAGACTTCTGTGTAGTCTTAGGGATGGAATCCTCTCAGTATTCTTTTTCAGAATTTCTCCAACTTTTTTTAGTTGTATAGTTTCCCATATGAATTTAGAACTGTTTTATCAAGTTTAAGAAACAATTCTACTGCAGTTTTATTAGGAATCTGTGAAGTGTATAGATGATCCTAAGTAAAATAAAATCTTTACGACATTGAGTCTTCCTACTAAAGAATACAGTATACCTTTTTGTTTGCTCAAGATCATCCATAATCCTTATATGATGTTTTCTTTTTTTTTTTTTTTTTTTGAGACAGAGCCTCAAGCTGTTGCCCTGGGTAAAGTGCCATGGCATCACAGCTCACAGCAACTTCCAACTCCTGGGCTCAATCGAGTCTCCTGCCTCTGCCTCTCAAGTAGCTGGGACTACAGGCGCCTGCCACAACGCCTGGCTATTTTTTGGTTGCAGCTGTCATTGTTGTTTGGCAGGCCCAGGCTGGATTCGAATCTGCCAGCTCAGGTGTATGTGGCTGGTGCCTTAGCCTCTTGAGCCACAGGTGCCGAGCCATGATGTTTTCTATACATAGATTTTGGTTAAGTTCATTCCTTGATATTCTATCTTTTCTTGTTACTATTTTAAGTCAGATCTTTACTTCCATTTTTTCTTCTAACTGGTTATTGCTGGTATGACCTCTGTGCTTTTACCTTTGCCTACATTATGGGCGTTCTCCACACAGCAGCCATCCTTCATGGTGATGATACAGATGTGACTCGTCAAAAATCCTCCAATGGCATCCTATCCCCGAGTCCTTTGTGCTTACCTGAAATGCTCTTGGCTCTCTAATTCACTTTGATCAATGCTCAAATGTCATCTCTTTAGAGAAGATTTTTTTGAGTAATCCCCCTCCACTTCTATCCCTTTGCATGCTTAATTTTTCTGTATAAACCTTATCACTATATTTGACATTATAATGTATCTTTATTTGCTTATTATCTATCTTCCCAACTAGAACATAAATTCCATGAAGGCAGATACTGTTTTGTTCATTGTAGTATCTCCAGCATACAGAACATATTAGCTTGTCACATATCAGCTACTCAGAGAACATTTACGGAACAGAATAGGTGAAACTTCCAACCTAATGAGCTCCAGGGCTCGGACGGCAGAGCTGCAGATGATCAGCATCAGGACTGATTTCTTCTCACTGTGGTTTTTCCGAAGTTTTACCCACTTAGGACAGACTCAAAAGAAGACCACAAAAAATTATTCTAAATATTTAGAATATTTGAACTGGCCCCTCAAAGTTGAATATTCTCCAATTAATTTTTAGTTAGCATTTAAGCAAAATAAAATATAGTAAACATTGTTCATTATAATTATAATTCTATTTTCTGGTTATTATAGATATTAGATTAAAATAAAGTATCAATTTATAACACAAAACATATACTATGATAAGTGCCTAAATGTGACCAGTTTTAAAAGTAAGTAAAATAGTTTAGAATAATACATTTTTAATATTTTATGTTTCACGTTC